CATTTGTTTTGCATTACTGTGGAATATGCATTTTCTTTTTAAATATTCAGAACATTCACTGCAATTTAATTTAGCATTAATTTACCAAATTTGTAATCTGTGTAAGAGCCCTAAGAAGAACTTCAGGACACAATCAACTTCATATCTCCAGCCCCGTAAGAGCTGATAGAGGTTGCATTGGACTTCCTCTGTGCTTTAAAAAACTCACATAGAAAAATATTTTACCAAATGAAAATACAGTAACCATAATCCAAGAGAGTTTACATTTGAGATGCATTAAGGTCATGCCTTTCTTAAAATGTGGTTTTCCTTTTTTCCCCATCAACTCTTGAAAAACTTTGGAAAGATTGTCTCTCATGACCCAACCCCTACTTGAAGTTAACTGATTCCAGAGGTCTCAACCTGGCCTGATAAGCAAATAGAAGTCCAGTTCAATGACATGCATTAGTGCAAAATTAGACCTCAGCAGTTTGGAGGAGAGAAGATAATTATAATAATCCAAAACATAATCCAAGCTATACCCTGCCATTGTGTTCTGACAACTGAAATATAGTAGACATTAGTATACAGAACAATTAATGATGATCATAAAGGAATGGTTTTAGAAGAAGCCACTTAACCATGTTTGCCCACATTATGTTGCATTTATTCACATCTAAGATAAAATTATGCAATGGCTCTCTCACAAACAGCACAAGTAAAACAAGAAGTAGGCTAAGCCACAGAAGGACAAAAGATTCCACAGCCAGTGCCAGCCTGAAAAGATTCAGGAGCATTTGCAACTACTATATTCAGCTGCAAAGTACATCTATAGGTGAACAACATAGCATATGCTCTGCTAAGACCTACCTTATCACACAGTAGGATGCTTATCTCCTGTCTTAAAAATAAAAACTTCAAAATTCCATGAGAAAAATCAACCCTACAAAAACATTCTTAGACACTTTTATTACAATTGCATGTGAAAATCTGTTTGTTTTCTTTCAAAGTAAGCAGCTGGACTCCTAATTAGTACATGTTAGCGTATTCTTACCATTTCCATAATCATTCAAGTACATGCATGTGATGCACAAAAATCCAAGTGTGCTTTTTCAGCATTTGGCCAGCACTCAACCCACTATATTAGGATACCCCTAAGTGCCATTTACAAGATGTCTGGTTTTAAAAGAATACAGCCCACAGTTCTGTACATACAGGAGATAAAATATCCAGGAGATAAAATATCTCCTTGTTAATATAATAATGTTGGTATTTATTTTGCAGTCTCTCTCTTGCAGTCCTGTTGAGTGCAGAATAGTAATTTGCTTCAAAGACTTTTCAATCGTTTTTCTCTAAACAAAAAACAAAAAAAAAAAAAAAAAGAAAGAAAAATATGAACACTGAGCTAAATCAACAATGCCAATAAAAGGCATACTAATATCTGTATTCTCATATCCCAGACACTTACATGGCAGCTAGAGGATGGGAAAACTTTAGTTAATTTCCATACCTCTTAAATGATGCATGCATAACAATAATAAAATATTAAAATTAATATTTTTGTTTGTACTTCATAGTCTTCTGATTACAAATTTCAGTTAATCTGTTTATAAATACATGCTTCATTTGGTGTTTATTTGCTTTTGTCACAGGTTTGTTTATATTTGTATTCCACTGTGCTATGAAAGAAAATGTGCAGAAACAGTGGAGGAGACACCTCTGTTGTGGCAGATTCCGACTGGCAGACAATTCAGGTAAAGACAGTTCACAAGTCCCCTCCTTAGGTGCTGCAGTTGTCTATAGAAGTCCAGGTAAATAACTTGCTATTTTGTTTTAATATAATACAAGGTAAGCCAGAGATATAGATGTTGCTTTTGAAAGGCACATCAGACCCTAAAAATAAAATAAAAAAAATAATAATCCAGAGATTCAAACTTTGTCTTTCCAAACCCAGTCTTACTCATTTTCTCCTATATTAAAGTATATTGACTTTTAATTGTGTGTACTGTTAAGCTGATGTAGGAGCAATTCTAAAAAGTTGCATAGAAATATTATTACTTCTTTTGCTTACTTACTTCTTTTGCTTATTACTTCTTTGCCTTTTTAAACTGTCCTGTCCTTTGCCATTGAATTCAGAGAATTTTGGAGACTCAGAAACGTAGAAAATTCCTTTAACAGATTAGGTTCTGGAACTGAAGTTCACCTTCATCTGCAACAGTCAAAGTGAAAGGAGAGACATTGGTTTGGACACATGAAATAGTCCAATGGGCCACTGTACCTATAGTTTCCTGCACCTTTGGACATCTTGGATGGCATGAGACTGCTTTGTTCAGGCAACTGGCTCTTCCTTTGCTGTCAGATGTAGTGATTTGGACCACATAATCTTTCTCATATGGTTCTTATTCAATGACCAGTGTTCAAATCTACAGCTGGTGTAAGGTGACATAAGCTCATTGCTTTCTACAATAAGCTTTCATTTTGTAGTAAGAAATTATTTCAATTCAAAGGGTTAATGCAAACTAGGAAAATCATATTCATTCTGATCAGACATCCAAATTTTTTCATATGTTCAGTTTCCATGTGATTTATCCTGTAACTCCTGAACTGAAAAACAAGATGGATCAAATTATTTCCTTTTTTTTATGCTGCTGTTGGGCAGCTTGTGGGTATGAATATGGTAGAAATAAAAACATGAAGGATTTAAATATTTTAGTAGTATAGTTAATGTGATGTCATTATGTCTGGCATTAACCAGTTTATCTCCATGGGCTGGTTTTAATCTGCATGAACTCTGCTCTCTCCAGAACTCATGTTCTATTTTCAAGTAGAACAGTGAAATATAAGTCGAATGTGAACTTGTTTACCTAAACACTCTAGCAATAATTTTGTGTGAAGTATGTGTCTTGATTTAAATCAAAACTAAAGTGGCCCACATGTCTTTGACTTGGACTTCACGTCCATTTTGTGAATTTCATTGAAGTACAGTGAATAACAGCAAGATGACTAACTTGTGAAACTTCCTGCACTTACATGCAATTGTATGGTACAAAAGTGGTTAGATACTTTTATTCTACTGGTATTGGGACACTTGTGATGAGTTTTCAAGTGCTAGTTTTCTTCAGTCAGTTTATTGGTATTAGCTGTTTAATTTAATTATGGAAGTTGTTCCAGCATAGGAGCCTATTGTGTTAATGGTTTGGACAAAATTCTTTAAATGTGAACTACTGAATAAACTTTATTATGTAAAATGTGCACCAATATGCTAAACAACAAGCTAGCTGTTATTATGTAGTATCTTCCTCTGCAGCAGCAGCAGCAGATCAAACCCTCAGATCATAAGATCACTGTAAATGATCCTATCTACCCCTTTCCTATTGCCTTTAGATACTGCTCTTTAGGTCAGGAAAGTTTGGTATCCCTATACTGCTACAGAGCTTCTCTGCTCTTCTGCGTTCTGGAAATCCAGGTCATATTTGCAGTTCTGCTGTCCAGACAAACAATTGTTATAATGTTAGAGCCACTAATTTCAACTGTTTTAGTAGAGTATATCAAATTGGAATAATTTTATCATTTTTAAGAACCAAAGAGGATACCTAACAGGAAAAGGATGGGGTATTTGTTGTAAGCAATACTAGGAAATGCATCAGATATTTGAAGTAATCATAAATGAACAAATTAGGCATTTATTATGATAGATATTTATGTAAAACTTCTCAATCATTTTTAGATTGGAGCAAAACAGCAACCAATATTATAAAGAAGAGTTCCGATAATCTTGGGAAGTCCTTATCCTCTAGTTCCATCGGCTCCAATTCAACCTACCTAACATCCAAATCAAAATCCACAACAAATACATATTGCAAACGAAACAGCCATACAGGTGAGTTCTTGCACTGCAACTCAGTGCATCTGTGAGCACATAGGTTTGTGTGAAAGGCACAGCAAGTGTTTCTACCCCAAGGTTAAAGAGAGAAAATGTCATCAATTCATATAGTGCCAGTATTTTTTAAATATATGTTACTGTTTAATAAGAACCATTACCCAACGTGCAATACATCCAATATATAGATCTGATCTCCATATGTTCCCATACTAAATGAAATAGGATTGATGAAAGCAAATTTTGCTTATTATCCTATTGTAAACACAGGGTAGCCAAAGCACAGAGAGATGACGTTCTTCACCCAAGGTAACATGAAAGCTGGCAGTACAGCTGGAAATAGGAATCAAGTCTTCAGTGTCCAAGTCCACAGCTGATTGTCTTGGTTAAACTCCTTTCATCTAACTGTAAAACATTTGTGAGTGAAACGACAAATGGAGCCTACTCCGAAATGGATACTGTGTTCCCAGAGTATGCATTGTCTTGCATTTCTACAAATAGCCATACCTACTGCTTATTTATTTATATATCAATGGTATATGTAATAAAAGGCATCATCTGTATTCCACTCATAACATAAAAATATGCTCATTTTAAGAAGACTTTAAGGGAGCAAAGAAAGAGAGCAGCTGGAATGATTTTCAAGTTTGGTTGTATCTGAGATAATATTTCAGAAATTTACTTATATAGTTCAGATTTATTTTGTTACTCTGGTTTTGTGAGTGCATGTTTTCGTCCTGTGTAAAGTCACATAGCATTATTATAAATACTCTTTTATAAATATAGTGGAAATAAAATCTACGCACATATTTAACTCAGAGGTGTGTTTACTTGTTTTAAAATATTTATCAGAAAAAATGTTTCAATATGAAGTAGATGATTTCATTAGAAGGAAAGTTATGTTGTTTCTTAAGTATTAATTATTTTCGTTAAGCCCCCAGTGTCTCATTTATGATGGGACACTCACCTTTCTTGATGCATAGCATAGTTTCTAGGAAATACTTTCTATGATTTTAATTTGTGATCATTACCTACTTCAGTTTGGCACAAACACTCATTTTTTTTCAATTAATTACACTGTTGTTTTCTCACTGGCCAAGATTCAGTGCATCCATTAGCACGAGGGATTGTGTTTCAGGCATTTTAACGGTTTAAAACTTTATTGTTTGTTGAGAACATACAGGAAGTACATCGGTTTTGAATACAGTAAAAATGAGAAGCATCTTAGAAATTCCTGATGACTGATAGCACCTGAGCTTGTTCTCAGGGCTGCTATTCACAACTGCACTGGGAGCACATGGCGAGTGCCTGCCTCCCTGGGCTGCCAGTCCCTGCTGCCAGGTCAGGTTCAGTGTGCAGTGTGCCCAGCTGCCCTGCTCATTCGTCTGTTCCCTGCAGGAACACTTCTGCCAGCAGTCTTCCACAAACAGCATCTTTAATATCAGGCTATCAATTAAGACATAGTGGTAGAGTTTTTGCAAGGTGTTCTTGAAGTAAAACAAAGAAACTGTTCCAGAAAAGAAGTAGTAAAGTTAAAAGAAACATGCTCATATATAGTCTTCAAAAATTATTAGCTTAATCCCATGCATAAATTATTCCTAAAAAGGATTGCAGTTCTTAATGCAATCAAAGATTTTAATATGCAGGTTTTTTGGACATTAAGAGAATACAGCAGTTTTCTTTTTATTTTTTGTAATTTTAATACATTTCACTTTGTTCTCCAAAATACACATCTTACTGTGATACTCCACGGGAATTTTTGATAACACTAGGTTTTTAAATACTGACATATCTTCTCATGTGTAAAAGTAATAAAAGTAATAAAAAATAATATTCAGATTCTGATTGTTAATACACCTGAACTTCTCAGTTTGCCAACTTAGCTAAATTGCAGGCAAAGAATGCCATAGCTACATGTCTTGGCAAGTCTTGTTGATACAGTTATAATGTGCTCCCTGGAATTGACACAAGCATTCGTGTGTTTGTGGTGTAGATAATGTCTTCTAAGGCCCTTTCCTCATCAGTGGTGGAGCATTACAGGTAAAGTGAAAATTGCTTTTGTTGAATGCATGGTTGGAACAGGGTGGAGGGATGCTTCTTGCATGATGTCCTCATTGACGCAGAGGATTTTGCTAATCAGAAATGCTGCTTATTTCTATTACATCTTGCACCACTGATGCGGAATCAAAGGACAAGCATGCTTCAAACTATGGGTGTCTGCACTCTGCATGGGGCACACAGCATTTAGAACATCCCATTTTAGAAAACAGACATTAATGTCCTGACATTAATGCCTGTGTACAGTAGTCTGGGTAAAGGAGATTATCTTGAAACACCCATACACAAAGCATACATTGAAAAGCAAAAACAATATGATTGAGTTGAAGAATATTGTTTAGTATTTATCAAAGTTATTACAGAAAATTTAATATATTTATATTGGGTCTACAGCCATTACTGGACCAGTCTTCTAGACATTGAGATTTTTATATCCATTAGCACCCAAAATTATTCTTAGTGATTAATTATATATGCCTGAAAGCCAGCCTATGAATTGCTGCTTGAATACAGAATGCACCAACACAAATATTGGATGAACCCTCATGGGTGAACAAAAAAGGTCACTACGGCAACTTGTGCCCCAGCTGTCTACAATCCCAAACCAAACTACTTGTAGAAAGTCCATAAATACCCTCTGTAATCCTTCAGTGAATTAGAAGCTAAGACTATCTCTGCAGAGAATTTGGTCATCCAGCTCACACTTCAAAGATACAAGATTTTGACCCTGTATGTAGATGTGAAGCCATTGGTTAGTAGATGCATAAATTTGAAAGGCTCTCAGTACTCCACCATTGGACATGGTGTTACTCACTGCAATTAATGAACATTCTTGTGTGCTTTGAAAAATAATCCTGATAAGCCTCAACATGCCTTTTTCTGTTTTAACGAGTGAAACTGTTTTGATTTCTCTGTCTGCAATCCATTTCTCCTTTGCAATAGTTTGTGCTCTTTTATGGCTTGATATCATGACTTTTCCTGGGACGGGTTACTATTCTTTTTATTTCTAGTTGGTTTATTTCTAAGAAAAGTTCTTAACGAAATAAAAGTTCAAGTAGTATGCTTAATTCTTAAATGATCCTTTAACAAGGAATTTTCGGAGATGACTTCACCAAGGTCTTGTAAACAACCATCAAAAATGTCACTTGTAGAAAACGTTACTTCCCAGGGTGCTCCACCTTACTGCTGGCTTGCAGTGGTACAGATCTTGCCCAGGTTCAGGGAATTAATTCCAGCTTCACTGCAGTGGAACAGATAAGAGAGCTCGGTTAGGACAGCATACTTAAGAAAATTAGATACAAGCTCTCTTCTTATTTCTCACTACGTTAGCTCTACCTACTGACCATTCTCTGAACAACACTAATGTGAGCCACCAAAGCAGACTTTCCCAGTCTGGCTGGGAATTGCCTTGCTTCTTTACGTTTTCAGCTTCACCCTTGACATCTAGCTTGTGGACTCCGAAGGGAGGCCCAGTTGTTGCTTCTTTTCCTCCCTACAGCCTGCACCCTCCACATTATGGAAAAAACAAGTTGAGGCCAGGCAAGCACAAAGTTTTGGCTCTGGTTATCTGCTTTATAATGAAAGACAGCCTCTGCTACATTCAGCACAGATTATATTATTTCTGTGCATAGCTCAAAACATCCACTGTTGAAATAATTAAGTCTTTTCACAGTCATTCTACAGTACTTTAATATGTGGAGATGCTATTTATGGAGATCCAGTGCTATCGAAATGTTTTCAGTTGTAAAATTCAGAGCATCAGCAATAAATGAATATATTAAAAGGTCATAGGAGTCAGAAACAGAGGGATAATTTCAAGAGATACCTGAAAGGTCTGCCCACAAAACCAGATATCTCAAAAGAATTTAGAAGAAGCAATCTCAAGCCCAAAAGTTTTTTGCTGACTTTTAGGGCAATAATTTAGTTCAGCAGTAGTAGCAATTGAAGGCATATCAATGTGGGAGTGATACATCTTTTAAACTATGAATTTGCTTAAGAGGCCCTAACTATTTCTTGTTGCTTTTTCCTCCTCTTAGAGAATGTTTTTCTTGACAACCCATCTTCAAATTTTGCCCAAGAGGATGGAGAACAGACATCAATCATCCCTGTCCACCAGGTTATTGACAAAGTCAAAGGATACTGCAATCCTCACTCGGACAACTTCTATAAAAATATCATCATGTCTGACACATTTAGTCGCAGCACAAAGTTCTAACTGGGTTTCTGATTTACTGGGTTATTTTTAAATCAAAGGAATACAAAAAGTTTGCCTGGAATTGAGAATATTGGATGTCATAGAGTATGACCCATTCAGTTATTTTTTCCCAGTTTATAGTGTTCTCCTACAAACAGCTTCCACTTCAGGACTGATTTTTTTAAGTTTTTACTGTTGTGGGAAACGACAATTTTTTACCATGGTATTGAGCTGTTTTCAAATGTGTGCCAGCCAGCATGATGCCTGGACAGCTAATTGTAATCCTGTGTAAATATCTTTTAAGACTGAAGAGCAACTTTAAATCATACAATCCAAACAGAAGTCTTGACTATTGGAGAAAATACCAGACGTGTCATGCAGTATAGGCAAGCTTTTATTGAGCATTTTGCTGATGGTCTTTTTGTTTTGAAAAATATGGATTTTCCCTATGGCATTTGTTAGATTCTTGCTTCTTGAATGTCTAGTGCTCTTTATTCATAAATGAGTAAAGCCCTAGCACCACTTAAAGGGCTATTTTAAACTATTTTTGCCTAAATAGACCTGATCAGATAGACTTAGTCACCAAAACAGCATATGTTGTAAATGCAGACAAATTTGTATCCATATACATAGAAAAACAGTTTACACAGAGTTGTGTTTCACCATTTATTGATTGGTATGTATGAAATGTAGTGTCTTCCATCTCGAGTCTATGTTTAATGTTCTTTTTTCACAAAACAAAATAACAAAAAGACATTCAACTATATATAGATATATAAATATGTACCTAGAACTCTCTCTACACATATTTCTATAATAACACACGTAAATATTACAATGTATACAAGAGACAATCTAAAACCTACAGACGGTGCTAAGACTTAAGTTTAAATATTTAAATGCAAGATTAATTATTTGTAAATCCATGATTTTGTCAGTCTCTGTACTTCACATATACTGTATGTATAGACACCTCCATCAGATGGCATTGCAACATTAGGATAATCTGGAACATGTTTACTAAAAATAAACATCTTTCTGGGCACGTAATGTTATCAGTATCCCTCTGTTGCCCTGTTCAATGACATGATTTGAGGTTTTTGGATGCACAGAGTTTTAATAGTATTGAGGTAATATTAAGGAATTTCTCATTGCTATACTGTGTCCATAATGACACTGGGGGGTGGGGGGGGAGGTGTGCCCAGAGAACAGACAAGAGCATAAAATGCTTACTTGTTTTACTCTCTATAAATGTGTGACATATTAGCAAGTGACCTTGAGTACCAAAAGGTCATCTCTCCTCATGAATTGTGTTTCACCCCATGACAAACTTCATAAAAATTGTAGCTGCACATGTTTCTGAAGGCATATGCTGAAACATAAAAGTTTTTTCCAAGCACTGCATTCAGAGGAGAATGTCTCCTAATGGAAGTTTTAATTTTTTAAATTATGCCTTTTTTTAGCCAAAATATTTTTAGCCACATATTTAATTATTTGAATTCAGAGAGCATAAAGTTGTGCTGAGATTTTTCAGTTGCCAAGCAGGTGGATGCTCAGTGATTAGGGATGTGGGTTTGTGCTTTCTCTGCTCTTTGCACGTGCTTTTGTGTGCAGAGATCATTTAATGCTGTGACCGCACAAACGGCACATTTGCCCTGGCTGCAAGCACCTGTCAGGAGGAGGATGTCCCCATGTATTCCACGAGGAACACTGCTGTCACTGCGTGGACCTGAACCAAACCGCAGCCTCACAGCTGCAAATACATTTGGGTCTATGAATGGAAGTCAGCCCCATTCACTCAAACTGTAATTAATAACAGCGATGAGTGTTGTCAGATATCTTCAATAATTGAAATAATTTAGGAAGAGATCATGTACAAGCACTTGCTGAACTTATATTTTATCTTCCCATTTGCTTAACTACTGTAGATAATAGTGTTCACATAGCAGCTTACTGTGAGATTTCTACCTGATTAAGATGTTCAAAAGTGAAGAGAAGGAAAACTAAACATTCCTGAAAAAAATGAGCAGTCAATAAAACACAACAGAAAAAAAAAAAAAAAAACACAGTATCCTGAATGAAGCTGAGCTGTAACCTGTCAGTGTAATGTACATCTACCTGTATTTTTGCTGAATTAAGATTTTTTTCTCTTTTTTTACTACCATGTAGTAATCTTAAACTGTCTGTGTCACTTAGCTGCTCTTGAATGCTCTCAATTCTACAATGTAAAGCTTTTGTTTTGTAGTTGACATGCTGTAACCTCCCTTGTACATATTTATTTATTTGTGAGGTTAAATATGTCAAATATACTTAGCACTATAATGACTGTTCTTTTTACTTTAATGCTAAGTTTCTGCTTCATCATAGACAAAGAGGGAAGGAATAATTTCTTACATGTTTTTTCTAAATAACTTGTGAAACAATTTACTGTAGCTCTATCTTTTGCAACTTTGAGGAAACTTGTCAGTGTAATTTGTGATACTAGTCAGTGAAATATAATGTAACAGCTTTGAAGATGGACTAAAATGGAAAGAAACCTTTTCAAGTAAACATTTTTTATGTTAGTGTTCCAAATAATTAAAGTCTTTTAATAGTGAATGGTTGACTTTTATTTTTCCTTTTTAGCGTTTAATGGCAAAAATTACACAGTGGAATTCTGGAAAATAATCTTGTGGTTTTTTACTTGAGACAGGTACATGCTTAGCCAAAATGTTGGAAATAAATGTGCAAGATTAACTCCATCTCATCAGGGGAACACATTTTGCAGAATATGCCTTTCCCTTTTGTAATTTACTTAATGCCACATTCAGTGAATGACCTGGAAGTTGTGCGATCTCATTTATTTATGGTGGCAGCCATGTAATAGAAATTAAAAGAAAATCATTACAACAGTCAATATGCTGGGATGATATTTTAAAGTAATGCTAATGAATAATCTAAAACTCAGGAGTTATTCCTTTCTATATGTTTCTCTCCAGCTGAATGTAGTCCCTCATTATAAATAATTTCATTTGATCATTGCTGAAAATTTTGATTCAGCCAATCACTTGATTAATACACACTAATGTATAAACAATAAATGTCACACACTAATGGCCTACCTTTATTTGCTTACCTCTAAAGAAGATGGAAATATGCTGAAATGTGTCAGATTTGCTCCTCTGCATTTAAGTCTCATCACAGAAAATGCACAAAATACGAGGATTTAGCAGTGATACCTTTTAGAAAACATTAAAAAAAAGCCCGTGGGAAAAGTGGCACTTAATAATGAGGCTGCTGGGTGCACCTGTGTACAGTCTGCCTGTGTGTGCCTGTGGACAGTGAGCACTACCCTTGGGCTTTATGCCCCAAAGAGTGTGGGAGGACCCTCTGAGGGAAGAAGCCCAGGGTTTTTTTTCCCAAGTAGAATTTTGGCAGATGCCAAACTTGTAAGGAATGATTTGCAGCTCTTGGGGGTGGATTTATTTTTCTCCTCATTTCATCACTTTTTAAATACCAAGAACAATTTTATTTTAATCCTCTACTGTTAACAGCTTCCTACTGTAACCCATTGAGTTACATAAAATGCCACTTAATTTTATTACTTTTGAAAGGCTGAGCTATAATCAGACACATCTATGTAACTTCAGGGACAGCTACCGAGTTACAGGGCAGCAATGTGTCATTCATGGAGTCATTATGAAAAGTTTTAATGCATGTTTTTATGCATTTGCTGTATTTAAAGACAGAAACCCACATAGGGGTCAGCAAATTAGGCAAAGGGCTTGAAAGTTAATGCCAGGGAAGTCAGTCATGCAAACCAGTCTGGGGAGCAGACCTTTTATGCCCAGCACTCCAGCTGCTGCTGTGCCAAGGAGGCTTTCCCCTTCACCCTCCATTTAGCCGGTCTTTGGTTACTCCATCCATTTATTTGTCAGATGTCCTGGAACCATTGTGACACTTCCATCCTCAGGACAATAACTTACTGTAGTGCTAGAGAAAGGGAAAGGGGGGAAAAAAGAAGAGAAAGGGAAACTGCAACTGAAAGAAGGGGAAAGGTAGTTGCCAAGGCCTGCTTTGCATCTTACGCTTTTTACATGATTTCTTGCCCCTTCCCCAGGTTGTGTCACCCTGACCAAAAATGGAGACAAGGCCATTGGCATAGGTAGGACACACCACCATGGCTGTTTGTGCATATGTCAATTTAAACGACAGCTTAAAGTTGAAAATCTGTCATGGTTCTTAAAGGCAACAATTCCATCATTTCCATGCTTGAAGATTGACCTAGAATAATATTTCTGCAGTTCGGGAAGAAGCTAATTCCTCTCATGATAAGAAATCAGACTGATAAGCACCACACCAGAAATGGCTAAATAAATCTCATGGAAACCTCTTCTGGAAGGATAACCCTTCTTCAGATGCATCTTCTCGCTCAAAGCCAATGCTGCTGTTGTTCTCACTACAGAACAGTTTTAGTACTCATGGGGAGTTCACATGATGGTGCTGTCCATATGGATTGCTAACCACAACCATCTGTGCTTAACCACAGCACTTTGAGTGACACAGTTTTCTCAAGGTGTGCTGAGTGATCTACCTTACAAATAAATGCCAGTTTGATTATTTAGCTTGTAACAGATCATCTGAACTTGGCACTTTTTATCCCAATTATTCCTAGTAGGAGTTATTAAAAACCATACCTTTAGATAGAAAAGTGTTCTCAAATGTCCAAACTGTATTCTATACATTAAGTGTAGGAGAAAGAGCAAGTGCTGCTAACTCTGGTGTGATGTTTTCTTTCACTGCCAGGTTTCTCCCAATCTGGGAGCCTTCCAAAGTGAGGGGGAAAGGCAGCCATGGTAGGGGAGTCGATCCTGCTCTGTCCAGTGGTTAGAGGACTCCCACTGTCCCTGTCCTGCTGCATTTCACGGGTTTCCAGCGCCAAGTGCAGTAAATGCAACAATATTTACAAGATTCTGCTCTGGTTTTCTTTTCTTCTTGTCTGGCTCCTGCTTTTCCAGCAGAGGGCAGTGGCACATTTCTAGCTATAAATCTGTTAAAATCCATTGAAAATGCAGAAAGATTCCTCCATATGTGCACCCGCGCAGAAATAAGTAGGAGAGTTCATACCAGGTTTGTCTATTATTTAGCAGTTACATCATCAGATAAAGCATACACTCTGCACTCAGGGAAGTGAGGGGAGAGAGCTGTCTGCCTGCATTTGGGCATATTTTGTGGAAAGAGCAATACAGAGTCTCTCTGTATTCTCTCTTGTTGGTTACATTTTCTCCTTTATTTCTTTGAGAGGATGCGATGGAATTAGTGGAATTAGCTACTGCTACACTTCTATCAGCTGAGCAAACAGAACCGGCTCACCATTTCAGGCTTGTACACTGGCTTATTCCAATACTGGGAAAATTAGTTGATCTGCTGGAATGTCAGCCTGTGACTCAGAAATGCAATGTATGCATAATTGTCCAAGGAGGAAAACATCGCAGCAGCTTTCTGTTGACAGTGACATGCAGATCCATACCTCCCTAGCACTTTTACCATCAAAGGCATAGGAACAGATCTGCTGTCAGCTGGTTCCTCTGTTCACATACTCCTTCCCCATGGCACATATTACCCAGTCAGCTCAAGAAAGATGCAGAGCTCCTGGGCTACAGACCCAGCTGTACAGCTGCCCCACGGCCATTCTGTCATAGGGCAGGACTGACCAGAAAGCTGCTCCATTGGAAAATGGCACCCTGTCAAAATTGAAATGTCTCATCTGCAATTCTGGCATGTCCCTGGACTCGCACTAGCATGTCCCTCTGAATTCACACTGTATGAACACCAAGCTAAGGGGATACAAGTTGCCAGGGGGAGATGGAGAAGGGAAGGCAGGGAAGGACATGGCCTGCTCTAGCCTCACTTACTTTTTTTGGAGCATGGCTGCTGTGGCTGTGGAAGGAACAGTGGGAAGGGAGTCCCACAAAGGGTCAAGACTTGGCGCACACAGCAGACCTGAAGATTAGTGTGACAGATGTCATTACACCATCATTTCTCCAAAGACTTGTGGTGTTGGTGTAGCACGAGTTCGGAGTCACAGCACAGCTGTGTTTCTGCTGCATCATCTTTTGGTGTCCTTACATGAGCACAGCTCTAAACAAGGCAGGAGCCAGCATGAGCTCCCCAAAATTCGTCTGTCCTTCCTACAACTAATGCTCACTTCCCAGGAATGCAGACATGTCAGTAGACCTCTCAGTCTAGCTGCAAACATGTCATTGTTCAGATACAATAATTTTCTAGAATTTACCAAAGTACAGGGGGATCTGGGGATTATGCAGCACTGCCTGGGTCACAGAACCACAACCAACTGTATAGGACAGTGAGGATGCTCCAAAAAGAGGTTATGGAAAAAATAGCATTTGTAGAGCTTTACAGGGGCTTAGGTACTGTGATTTTCCATGCAGAGTGCAACTAAAAGAGCTCTCAGAGAAGTTCTGTGCTTGCACAGGCCCAGGCTGAGCTCTGCAGACAGGAGAGATCAAGGGGATGGAGTTCCAGCAGCCTTGCTGGACCTCAACCCATGAGTATCTTCTTCACCCTTTCTTTGATGAAACCTAGAGATGGTGGTAACTGTGGAGCAAGATTTGAAGCAGTCCAGCTAATACTTTTCACTTGTTAACAGGACTGAGGCTTAAAATCGCTTCAGACAGACTGGGGCTTCAAATTGCCATCCAAAGCAGCCTCTAGCCCTTGCTATGGTTAGGTGACAGCTTTTGCCAGAGGTGGGAAACTTATATTTATTTTAGCTAGAGTAGATCCTCCAGACCTGTGCACCAGTTTCAGATGGAGTTATGGTGATGTGGGTCTGTCATGGTACTCCACATCAGGAGTACCATGACAGACTCACATCATGGGCAGAACTGACAGAAAAGCCAAATGCACATTTTATTGCAGAAAAGATCAACCAGAAAAAGATCAGCACAGGCAGAAGCAGCCTGTCCCTGGGAGTGTGACTGTTGGATACTGCTGCTGGATTACAGCCAGCTGATTTTAACACATCCCGCTCTTGTATTTTCATTGATTTTTCAGTGTCTTTCAAAGATGGGTCTTTTTCACTTTGCCTCTTGCTTTCCCCAAACTGAAGCATGCTATAGTTCAAAGCAAATAGGCAATCCCCTAATCATATTTTATCCTATCAGATGTAGTATATGAAGTTTCCTACATTCATGCAAAGAGATCCTCTCGCTGAAATCAGACTGGACATCACTTGGGGACGAATCCAAAGACATGCTATTAATTGCCTCTGAACAAGGCACAGGTGAAGGATATGTCCTAGTGAAGCACCGAAAGACTTTCAGAAGAAGACCCTCTGTCACTGGAGATGTCTAAGAACAGGCTGAACCTGGGCTTCCTAAACCCACGCATGTGGATGCCACTATCAACACTGACAGCAGTATCAGGTGACACAGAGACAACCTCCTGTGATGATCCTCTTTAATTACATGGAGCTATTTTTACTAGCACAGCACACCATTTGAGGAGGAAGGTGCTCCTACAATAAATTCATCACTACCCTCTCTCCTGTCTTATTCACCCCCTCAAATTTTCATCTGCAAACACTTTGTCCATAACAACATCCACCAAATAGCTTCACCCCTCTGAACAAGGACCCCACAGGACCCCATCACACTCCCACACTGCCAATAACCACTCTAGACACCAGCCTATCCCCACTGCAGCAACAGCCCCTGACCCTTTACTTACAGGAACAACCTCTGTAGGTAAAGCAGAGATGGCCACAACAGCAACACCTCCCAACTCTCGAGCAGCCTGGCACTGGCATGGTGCTGTGGTGCAGCATTGACCTGCACATGTGCTGGAGGAGCAGGTGCAGGCACTATAGCCACATCACCTCTGAGCCCTGGTCCCTTTTAGAGGTGGGTTGGCAAACCTCTGGGGTTTTAGGCATATGTATCTCAGGGTTGATTTTGACAGAGATTTTAAACAGGGAGGAAAAATAGACACCCTCCTGAGAACCCTTCTGGTTCCATTTTCCTTCAGATTTATGTCCAGTGTAGGTTTCTGCGGGCTGTTTTCACTAGAAACCAGGGCTTCTCTCTGGCACCTTTATGTATCAGATTAAATCTGTGCCAGGTCTTTAGGTATTTGTTTTACTTTTTAACCTTTGCAATGAATTACTGCAGTTGCCTGTGTGAGCATGGCAGCTGTCACCTCCTTTGACTCTGCCAGGAAAACCAACAGACCTTTTTTTTTCCCAATTAAAATAAATAAATCCATTACTGAAGATGCTGCAAAAGACATTTCAGTGCTTTCTTTTG